CTTAAAACAACAACAACAACAACAACAAAGAGGCCAGATGCAGTGGCTCATACCTGTAATCTCAGCACTTTGGGAGGCTGAGGCGGGTGGATCACCTGAGGTCAGGAGTTTGAGACAAGCCTGGCCAACATGGGGAAACCCTGTCTCTACTAAAAATACAAAAATTAGCTGGGCGTGGTGGCAGGCGCCTGTAAATCCCAGCTACTCAGGAGGCTGAGGCAGGAGGATCACTTGAACCTGGGAGGCAGAGGTTGTAGTGAGCCGAGATGGTACCACTGTACTCCAGCTTGGGTGACAGAGTGACACTCTGCTTCAAAGAAAAAAAAAGGAAAAAGAAAAATACTAATGATGCAATTAAAAATGGGGAGTTGGCAAAGATCTTTTGGATATGTTTCCAAAAGCACAGATAACAAAAGCAAAAATCCATGAATGGGATTGCAAAACTGAAAAGCATCTGTTCAGGAAAGGAAACAATCTACAGAGTGAATAGATGACCTAGGAATGGGAGAAAATGCTTGAAAGTCACACATCTGATAAGGGGTTACAACTCAAAATATGTAAGGAACTTGAACAACCTGACAGCACGAAAACAAGTCAATTAAAAATGGGTAAAGGTGCTGAACAGACATTTCTCAGAAGAAGACATTCAAATGGCCAAAAGGTGTATGAAAAGTTGCTCAGTGTCACAAATCATCAGAAAAATAAACAACAAAACCACAATGAAATAGCACTTCACACTTCATAGGATTGCTATTAAAACAAAACAAAAACAATAGATAAATGTTGGTGAGATAATGAAGGAAAAAACATCCCTTTGTACGCTATTCGTGGCCAGGCAAATTGGTGTAGTCACTATGGAACACAGTACAAAGGCTCCTCAAAAAATTAAAACTAGAACTATCACACAATTCAGCAATCCCAGATGACAAAAATGGCCCAAGCAGGCCACCAGGGAAACCTGGGCCCAGCGTGCATCGATGCAGAGCGTCAAGCACAGCATAACAGGTGTACAGTTGCCTATTCCTGTCCAGAGAGAACTGCATCCTTCACTCTATAAAATGGGGAAATGCAGAGAAGCAGATGTAACTGAAGAAGCCAGCTGGAGCAACAAGGAGGGACAACCACAGCCTGGGAGGGCACCATGCCAGAGACACCTGGACCTCACGCTAGGCTCAGTGCCCGTTATACTCTTGGGACCCAGCGCTTTCCCTCTGCATCACTTGGCATACTTGACATTATTTGTTGCTTAAAATAATATCCTAGTATTCACCTTTCCTAGGAGACCTAGGCAGATCCTGTGACACTACAGCTTCGGCACACAGTAGGTGCATCACAAACATCTGCTGGGTTCACACACTCTTGCCTTCTCCAACCTTCTTGAGAAGTCTTCAGTGAAAAGGAATTGCTGATTGAGCAAGAATTAAACTTCTAGAGACTCCTGGATCCGCTGAAGTTTGAGACAAGGTAAGATTTGTTTACTGCCATATTCCTAGCTCATAGCACTTAATATGTAGTCAGTTAATAAATGTTTGTTGAATAAATGAGTCAAAGGAATCATATATCTTACTTAGCTATATTTTTTCTGAGCAAAATGATAAATTTAATAGTGTATTTCTGGTGTAATTTTACTTTACATATTCAACAAACCTGACAATTCAACTAGGTGCCAGGCACACAGCTGCTGAAGAAAAGGACATATAAAATACAATTTCTGTCTACAGGAAAGCCACAGTCTAAAAAGTAGAAACATGTGAACAAATTATAAAAATCAGAGAGGTTTGTTGCTATTTTAAACAGCTCCAGTCAGGAAGTGTTAAAATAGAAAGTTCTAAACAGGAAATGTTCCAACACACCATCTAAGCATGAAGCAGAAGCCACCCGTAGTTGAGTTTGCTACCGCCAACCCCAACAGCAAGAATTCCAATCCTGCTGCTACAAAATAAGTGTCATTCTAATTTTATTACTGCTATGTAACCCAGTTTTAGACTCTTTGATTGCCACTTAATGTTCTAAAGAAGTATTAAAGAGAAAATATTATTATGGTGTTGAGCCCATTCACTGCAGCCATCTCAACATCACACCAATTATAAAGGCTATTATTTCAAAAGAAAACTTTTAGTTTAACTTATTTATCCAAATATCAGTGTTACATAAACATATTTGCCATCAGACCTTGGATTTATGGGTTAAATAGTATATAAATATGATTAGAACCTCAAAGTTTACACTTTTCTGGTTCTCTCAAATTTTTTTTCAAAATAGTATATGCCTTTCTAAACAATTGTTAGCATAGTTTTTAAACTGAACATTAAAATGTGTATTTTCCAAAAACAAAATACAGCTCCCATTGGTAGATAGTGTTGTTGAGATACAACAGATAACTTCTCTTGGGAACCATTTAATCGGTCCTCAATTTTACACTCTGTCCAGAAATGTCAATGACTTTAAAATATAGAAGTATATTACACAACTGAACTTATACTTATTCAGTATTGTGCAATATTTAGTATTTGTTCTAGCTATCTCTTGCTGAATAGTAAGCCATTCCAAAACTTAAGGCATTATTTATTGTTTAATATGTGTTTATTGTTATTATTTGTTTAGTAATTTTAAATAGCATTATTTCTCATGGTTCTGTGGGTTGACGGGCGCTATAAAAGTTCTCTTCTGCAGTTCTCTTTCTTGCAGTTGCAGTTGGTTGGCTGCTGCTGAAGTCACCTGAAAGCTCAATTAGGCTATTCTCTAATTCTGCCTTGGTCCTTCTGGGGACCAGCCCACATACTCAAGCTACAAAGGGGGTGCCAGCCACCAGTCAACTCATTAGTGTACAAAAATACACTTACTACTTTGGAAATTCCTAGGATTTTAGGAGTCTATATACCAGCAGACAGGACAAAGACCAAATATATATTTTGCAATATCACAACAATAAAAGTAAATTATTTTTTAAAAGGAGAAAGTAAACCAATTGAAATGGATAAATATATTTTTTTATATTCTTAGAATGGAATTTTGTACAGCAGTGAAAACAAAAGAAATCAAAGTTATGCATCTACACGTAAATATCAAAAATAGAACTTTAATTAAAAGGAGGAAGCAAACTAAAAATACAGAAATAGCAGCCGAGCATGGTGGCTCATGACTGTAATCCTAGCCCTTTGGGAGGCTAAAGCAGGAGGATTGCTTGAGCGCAGGAGTTCAAGACTAGACCGGGCAACATAGTGAAACTCCATCTCTACAAAAACAAAAAAGATAGCCAGGTGCAGGCTAATAGTCCCAGCTACTAGGGAGGCTAAGGCAGGGAGAATGAACCCAGGAGGTGGAGGTTGTGGTCAGCCACTGCACTCCAGCCTGGGCAACAGAGTGAGACTCCGTCTCAAAAAAATGAAAAAAAAGTACACGGGCAAGCCAGTATTACAATAAATCAATCATACCCTATTTCAACTAAGCCTTCATTTTTGCTCCCAAATCCACCTCTCTGTCTTCAGTCAGCTGTCAGTCTCACTTTGCAAGATGAGTATGGAATGCCTTTGCCATTTTCTTGAAATCCTGACCTACACTCTCTACGTAGAGAACTCTCTCTCTACAGTTCTCTAAATAAGAACTGTTGACCTTGTCACCAAAACACCGCGCCCGGCCTCACTTTATTATTTCATAGTGATCATCACAAGTAGAAATAAATCAATCATTGCTTTATGATTTGTTACATTTTTCTCCTCCCTTCTGCATTGGAAGTTCTATTAAGGTAAAGTCTTGCTTGATCCTTTCTTTTATCTTTCTTTCTTTCTTTTTTTATTCTTTGAGACGGAGTTTCATTCTTGTTGCCCAGGCTGGAGTACAATGGCATGATCTCGGCTCACCGCAACCTCCGCCTACTGGGTTCAAGTGATTCTCCTGCCTCAGCCTCCCTGGTAACTGGGATAACAGGAATGCACCACCACGCCCGGCTAATTTTATATTTTTAGTAGAGACGGGGTTTTTCCATGTTGGCCAGGCTGGTCTCGAACTCCCGACCTCAGATGATCCACCTCGGCATCCCAAAGTGCTGGGATTACAGGCGTGAGCCACCATGGCTGGCTTGCTTGGTCCTTTCTATGTCATTGTGTTTCCAGGAAATTCAGACTGTGGCACAGGACATGGCATGAATCATGAGATGAAAAATATTTGTAGAATTAATGAATCGAACAGTGGGCAGGATTTGTAGAGATCTTCTAGACTGGCTGAATAAAATAAAATGTAAAAGTGATTTAAGAGACCGGGCACAGAGACTCACCCCTGTAATCCCAGCGCTTTGGGAGGCAGAGGTGGATGGATCATGAGGTCAGGAGTTCAAGACCTGCCTGACCAACAGGGTGAAACCCCATCTCTACTAAAAATAAAGAAATTAGCTGGGTATGGTGGTACATACCTGTATTCCCAGCTACTCAGGAGGCTGAGGCAGGAGAATCACTTGAACCTGGGAGGCGGAGGTTGCAGTGTGCAGAAATCGCGCCATTGCACTCCAGCCTGGGTGACAGAGTGAGACTCTGTCTCAAGAAAAAAAAAGTGATTTAAGCATTTTAGTGACAGCCTCTGACTCTCAGGACTCACAGTAGCACAGAATACTGAGGATCTTCCCCTCCCTCCCTCCCTCCCTTCCTTCCTTCCTTCCCTCAATGTCATTGAACAAAAAAACACTAAAACAGCTAAGGTCTTGTAGATGAATATTTGGCACTTCAAAAATCCTTACTTTTTTCTTGTCATTAGAAGACAATGTAGGTCGACAAACATTTTAAATGTCTTTTTTTGTGTGTGTGATTTATTCTTTCTACTGCTATTTAATAAGCACCAATGGCACCCACCAGGTTTTAGGTCCACAAGGCCAGTCTACTGATAGTACTTAAAAGATGCAGGTCTTTCTGTATATAAGGTTATATAAACATTATTGTAGAATGTGAAAGTAATGTGTGTGTAATCACCATCCACTGGAATTCAATCAGATTTTCCTAACAAGATGTTAGAAAGTGTCTAGCACAAAACTGACCTCAAAATGGTTTGGTGGAGGCAATTTATCTTCTGACCAGTTGCTGGCAAGGAACCCTCAAAAAACTGTTGTTTTTTGGCTTACGGAATTCAATGCAGTTCTGACAAGGAGCTTCAGGTTTAAAGGTCTGACTCTACCATTCGCTTAACCCTGAATTTAATCCACTGCATGTTCTGTGCAATTTTCCTCACCTAATAAAGGAACTTCCTTTTGCTCGTACTCCATAGATACCACATTTCCTTCTCATGACCTTTCTAACAGCTTCTTTGAAGTCTTTGTTCCTCAAGCTGTAGATAAGTGGGTTCAGCAGTGGTGTGACCACAGTGTAGAAGACAGAAATGATCTTGTTGACTTCAGGCAACAGGTGGGGACTGGGGTGCACATACATGGAGATCATGGTCCCGTAGTAGATAGTGACAACAGCCAGGTGGGAGCCACATGTGGAAAATGTCTTTCTCCGGCCAGAGGTGGAAGGGATTCTCAATACGGAGGACACGATGAAAACATAGGACCCCAGTGTCAGAAAAAGACAAATGCACAGCACGGCAGTTGACAGGATGAAGATGGTCACCTCAGTGATATAAACACTGGAACAGGAGAGCCGCATGAGTGGGAGGAGGTCACAGAAGAAATGGTTAATCTCATTGGGCCCACAGAAGTCCAACCTGGAAATCATCAGGGAAGGCAGAAAGCCTGTGCTGATCCCTGTCCACCAGGAGACCGCCACCAACCTGGTGCAGAGCTCATGATGCATGAGGAAAGGGTAGCGGAGCGGGCTGCAGATGGCCAGGTAACGGTCATAGGCCATCACGGCCAGGAGAAAGCACTCGGTAGCGCCGAGGAACACGAAGAAGTAGAGCTGTGCCATGCAGGCGGAGAAGGAGATAGCTTGGCCCCAGGACAGCAGGTTGGCTAGGAGAAGGGGCACAGTGGTGGATGTGTACCAGACCTCCAGAAAGGAGAGATGCTGGAGGAACATGTACATAGGGGAGTGCAGTCGCTGGTCCTGGCTCACCACAGTAACGATGACGACATTCCCTGTAATGGTCAGGCAGTAGATGAGCAGGAAAATGACAAAGAGCAGGGTCTGCCATTCAAGAAGGTTCTGGAATCCTAACAGCCGAAAGTTAGTCACAGTGGAGGTATTTTGGGGCTCCATTGCCTGTGGGGGATGAAAAACATTTTGGAAAAGCACAGGATGCAAGGCACAAATGTATCACTATTGATGTTTGGCACTTCAGAGATTAATTTTTAAATAGTTTAGAGCTGTATGCACAGCTTTTTAGAAGGATAAATGCATAATTCCGCATCTCTTTTCTAAGAACACATTTTGAAATCTTAAGCTGAATGTGAATGTTAGATCTTGTAAGGAGACTCAGCAAGTTTCATTTATCTGGGTTCTCTGAAATCTTGAAGTCTCCTATCCAAAGACAGGCAAAAGAGGACTCTGATTAGTAGACCTTCAGTGCTCTCACCATACCAAAAAGAAAAACTGAGGCGATGACTATGTTACTTGGATTGATTGTGATGATTATTTCACAATGAATACCTCTATCAGAACAAGGTTGTACACTTTAAATATATAGTATACAATAATATTTATCGACTACACCTCAGTAAAGCTGGACAAAAACTCAAAAAACTGACAATAACAACAAAACTTAAAAAAAAAAAATCCTGCAGGGCTGGGCGCAGTGGCTCACGCCTGTAATCCCAGCACTTTGGAAGGCCGAGGCGGGCATATCACGAGGTCAAGAGTTCAAGAGCAGCCTAACCAACATAGTGAAACCCTGTCTCTACTAAAAATACAAAAATTAGGTGGGCGTAGTGGCACGTGCCTGTAATCCCAGCTACTTGGGAGGCTGGGGCAGGAGAATCATTTGAACTCGGGAGGTGGAGGTTGCACTGAGCCAAGATCACGCCACTGCATTCCAGCCTGGGCGATAGGGCGAGATTCCGTCTCAAAAAAGAAAAAAAAAATCTTGCACATACGGAAGCAAATGCCTTTCCCTTGTCATATGTGGGCTTTGTCTGAAAAGAAGCCAGACACAGCACGTCTCCTACGCCATCTTGGGAAAGTGTATATATTCTACCCTCAAGCAATATTTATTGGTCCCTGCTGTGTGTGTGTGTGTGTGTGTGTGTGTGTGTGTGTGACAGAGAGAGAGAGAAGGCCTGTGCTGAACTAATCTGTCTCACTCCACTGGTGTCCTTTCTTGCCTTACCCGACACCATACTCACGCCCAACCACTATCATTGCATCCTCGTGTACACCTTCTTTTCTTTCATTTAATTCCCTATCTATAGTTCTGGATAAAGTAAACATCCACCTGCCATACAGGAGCTTCTGTGAAGTTGAGGGAGTGGGACATAGCACAGAATAGAACCTCTGTAAAATGTACAACCAACGCACTCAGTGTGCCCTTACTGCTGGAGAGCAATCATTCTATATTTCCCTTATACACCAAAAATAAAATTCTAAACCCCACAACTGACCGAGCGGACTCCTCCTTTCTGCCAAGGGGATTTCAAAGAAACCTAAAAAATCTGGTTCAAGCCATGATGGGAAGAGGAGGTTGGACAAACCTCATCACGCTCTCCTTTCTTCAGAATTCAGGCACAACTGAGTAGCAATAACATCAAAAAAGAGATTTTAAGGCTGACAAAACAGACTCTATAGCAATAAGGTACCAGATTCGAATCTGACTCTAGTATAGCATCATGACAGACAGCCGACCCTGAAAGAAATGGAAATATTTTACCACAACATATATGTATTTGTCATATTTAAAATGGCCCTGCAAAGCTGTCTCTTGTGGGGGAAATCTACATTCTGTGGAGAACCCCTTTCCCTCTCCAGGCCTTTGTCTGATCCTCAAGAGATGAGCTGAAAGTCTAGCAGCTTTTAAAAGTCTCAATAGAACATTTTTGCCATCTGCTGCTTCTCAGGCTGGCAACATATGAGACTTCATCTACATCGTAAGAACCCTGGTTTCCCCAACCCCCTTATCTTAATCCAGATTCTCCTTCTATTGATTCCAGGTCTTTGGACAATAACTTAATTCTTTCAACCAGTTGCCAATCAGAAAGTCTTTGCATCCACGTATGACCTGTAACCTTCTCCCATTCTTGGAGTTGTCCTGCCTTTCCAGACCAAACCAATGCATAGCTCACATGTACTGATTGATGTCTTATGTCACCCTAAAATGGGTAAAGTCAAGCTGTAACACAACCACCTTAAGTACATATTCTCAGGACCTCCTGGGACTGTCACAGATCATAGTCCTTAAATTTGGCTCAGAATAAACCTCTTCAAATATTTGTTACAGACTTTGGCTTTTTATCAATACCCGTATCTATTCACTCCTCCAATCTCTTAAGTGACTATTTCACTTATGCTGCTCTCTTTTCAAAGGTCTAGCACATCCTTGTTGCTCTGTACCCTCAGTAAGATACTTATTTCACTGGAAAATCCTGAAATCCTTCAATGGAAATATCCACAAGCTCAGGCCACTAAATTCTGCCACCGACTCCCTTTTGTTCCTATGCATTGACGCCTCACACTTCCTCTGAGTAAACTTTCTGCATCCGAGTCAAAGACAAATCCCTCCACCTGGGCATCAGGCGCCAATAACCTCCTACACACTGGAAAGGTATTGCAGGTGAAGGAGGCAAAACGATTCCTCTCCAAAAAAACTCAGGAGTGTTGAGCTGAAGAAGATGAACACACAGGGGACCTGCCCCTCCCTCTGCTTTCCTGAAGGCAGGACCAAGAATGTACAAAGACAAAGGACTTCCTGCCTCCCCTCTGCCTCTTCCCGCCTGAAGATTCTTGCTTATCAGTTCAGACAGCAACACCAGGGATCTCAGAACAGACTACTCTTCCTGTAAATGTTCCTTCCCAAATGTCTTGCGTTTTGGAAGCCTGACGATGCCATTTTCTTTGTTTTTTTCACTGTAGATAATGTATGGCTCCTTGCTAAGACACTATTTCAGCAAGGCCTCAAAGCCACTGCTCCCAAAGCGTTGCAGCAATCTAGGTGAGCCGTTTTCCTGAGAGAGCTGCTTTCTTTCTTGTGATGGGGGTGGCATGCAGAAATAATCACGCTTGTTTTTCTCTTGGTGATCTGTGTTTTGCTCATGAAAATCTGTCCCAGCAGTGAATTTATGAAAGTCGAGAAGAGAAATTCTTTTTTTCTCTCCTTCACGGGTATTCTCAGCTTCATGCCTGAATCACCCATGGTGCCCTTTCTGCCAAAGCATTTCCTCGACATGCTAATGGGCTGGATTGCTCTCCCCCACTTTAAAAAGACGAAACAGAGAAGAATAGGTCTAGAGGCTTTGCTGTTCTCTGAATACTACCTGCACTTCTCTGCTCCCTTTTCCTGATGCTTTCCCTTCTGGAGGGCACTGCCCCTCCCTGCTGCTCCTCGTCCTCCGCCTTCTTGCTCACTGGAATGCACTATGATCTGGATGTTTCTCTTGCCACTGCCCCAGAACGGCATTGCCCTGCAGCCACCCATCACATTCCCAACCCTCTTCATCTGTGGCATCATCGCACTGTCGATCCCTCCCTCTTCCTGGATCCACTGGTCACTTAATATCCACAACTACATACGCTCTTAGATCAGCGACAGCCCTGGTTTTTCACACTTGTACAGGGCTTCAAGTCTCTCAGTCTACCTTCATTTCCTTCACAGTTTCAGGCAGTCTCTTGACTTGAATACTGTCACTTTGCTCTCAGCCCTCAAATTTATGTCTCGAGCTTGAACACAAGCCTCCTGTAAACAACTGCCCTATGTGAAATGCTCACTCATATCTTGTCAGCATTTGCAATGTAACGAGACCTGACTTAGCTGACCAGCACTCCTGACTACCCCAGCCTCCCCCAGTGCAGCCTTCCTCCCACTTGCTCAGACCAGAAACTCTGAATTTGACTCTTGTTCCTTTCAAACCCAATGTCCAATTTTTCAGCAAAATTGACTAGCTCCACCTGAAAATGTATCCAGAACTGATCTGATCACCCTTCACGACCACCATCGCTTGCTCCCTAGAAAAGGCACCACTATCTCTCATCTAGCACCTCCATGTCCAGCCTGCCCCACTCAAGAAAGCCGTCAAAGAGAACATTTTAAAACACGGGAGAGTTTTCACAGGGAACAGAGATGTACTGTGAATTGTTCCTGAAAAGGAAGAAAATATTGTGGCCAGACAATCCACATATTCACCTCTGCAGTTTCCACTTCGTCAGAATCGACGTTCTGTTGACTTGCTGTTTCTGTTCTTCATGTCTGTTGTAGTTCACTGTTTCTTCTGTGTTCTACGTTCTCTCTCATCCTTGGCCAAAGTTACTGGGAATATTATTTTCATGTAGCCAGGAAATAATTACATCAAGAGAAAATGATATCTTAACATTATTGCACATGCTACAAAGAGTATAATACTGAATGTGTCATATATATTGAACTATATAGTACTTGATTTCTTCAATAAAGCTTAAGAAACAAAAACAACCAACAAACAAACAAAAACAAAGCCTTGATGGACCCAGCCCTGCTTGATCTCTCCTCCCACAGCCTCACCAAACTCTTAGTCTACTTTCTTCTTGGTCCATTCCGCACCCAGCGCTCCCGCCTCCTTAGTATTCTTCAAGTTACCTGAAACTTGCCTCGTTTTCTCCTTAGCATGTTTAGTTCCCTGCAATGTTGTCCTTGAACAGCTTTGTATAGCTTATTTCTCACGTCCTTCCAGTCTGCTCAGATAACACCTTTTTTAGGCCTGATCTAAATACTCTTCTGCCATTCTCAGAATGTATAACAGAGTCAAGATAAAAGTGTTAAGTATATGTTTGTTTGAAGGCAAAATATTCCAGCAATTCTGGCTTGAAAACACTGAATGAAAACTAAGAGATGTGAGAAAATTGTTATTTGATCCACATAGATTGATTTATTCATATAGATTGATTTATTCACATAGATTATTTATTCAGCCAGGCACGGTGGCTGACGCCTGTAACCCCAGCACTTTGGGAGGCCAAGGCAGGTGGATCACTTGAGGTCAGGAGTTCAAGACCAGCCTGGCCAAAATGGCGAAAGCCCATCTCTACTAAAAATACCAAATTTAGTCGGGTGTGGTAGGGGGCACCTGTAGTTCCAGCTACTCAGGAGGCTGAGGCAGGAGAATCACTTGAACATGGGAGGCGGAGGTAGCAATGGGCCGAGATCCCACCACTGTGATCACTCCAGCCCGGGTGATAGAGCAAGATTCCATTTCAAACCATAATAATAAATACTCTTGGTAAAACAACAATGCTATCTTGGAAAATGGTTCCTTTTTGCCTTGGCTTTCACTTAGTATTTTATGAGAATATGACCATGGTATTCAATTTAAAATGAATGTCCACAGAAAAATAAGGTAAACATGGAGAGCAATGAGGGTCTCCTTAGGGAGACCACAGTGAAAACAAAACAGCCCTTTATTACAATAG